AGATGGTGGTTGAAGTTAAAGAGCGTGAAGGGATAGCGGAATTCGGGTTGAAGAGTGTGTTCTATAATGGCATGGCTATACCGGGGCCTGATAAGGACGGCAAGATGCCGCCTGAGCCTATGGGACCGTGGGTGCAGTGGCTACATGGGCAGTACGACAAGTTGCTCATGGAGACGAGTCTGAGAGGCAAGGTGTTGCGATAGTCTCGATCGACCTGCTGGTTCGCTCTTGCTGTGCTGCCCAGCGTCAAGCGCCCCGCCAACTATACTTCAATCGAGGAACCGCGCATCCTCGTCGTATGCCCACGCCAGCTTCTCCTCCTCACTTGGGTCGTCTGTCCGCCTGAGTACCTCGACACAGGCCTCGCGGAGTTTCTGTCGCATGCTGCTCGTCATGCGATTCCAGAGGGCGTCGGCGAAATCCGAGAAACCATTAGACCATTGCTGGGCTTGGTCTAGAGTGCTGCTGGTGGCAGAGGAGATGGAGGCAGCTGTTGTTCGGTCGTCGCGTCGCCGACTGAGCTCGCCTGAGTGATTCGAGCGGTCGAGGGGGGATGGAGAGGCCGGCTCCTTGGCTAGGCGATCAGCGTCGTAGTTCGTGACTATGATGGGCACGTTCCCAAAGTCGAAGTCGCCTCCGAGTCTCTCCATGCCTGGGATTTACTCCTGTATTGCCCTGTGCACTTTGGTGTTATCTCATGTCAGGCCCATGTGCTTTCTCCAGACGGAGCAGCATAACTGTAAGATACAATGCCGTGTCCATAGGTACGTCGCTTTTGCGGATAGAACACTCCGTTTCCGGCGCTCTGCTGCATCGCGTTACTACTGCCGGTGCCTTCGACACAAAGACTTCAAGTAGCCGCCATCCTCGGGAGAGCTGCGCGGGTCGTGTTTGTTCGCGGCGTCCTGTCCATCGTCCGAAAGTGGAAGTGAGGAATGTAACGATACATCACGTGCATGTTGCATTGCAAAGCGACTCTATTCACATCTATTTGTTGACATCAGGAGCAGCCCTCATTTCATGGCCTCAGCTACTGTGCATTTGCTCGGCTTTTCCGCGGTTGATCAGGCAGTAGTATGTATTGAGTAGGAGAAGCAAATAGCTTCAACTTCAAAGGGCGAATGGTCTCAACGGTAAGATACTTGGTTAGCCTGGTAAACCCAAGTGATGTTGGTTCGACTCCGACTTCGTCCAGGATAGGTAACCTTTTGCTACGGGTTATTCCACTCGTAAGCGTAAAGCTGGGTCGCCACACTGTTTCGATCCGTGCCAATGTGTTTTGCTGAAAGCGCATCAGTAATATACAGGCGTATATACACAGCTCCGCACCCAACGTCAGCTGCTCGGGGCGTTCACCACATCAGCCTTGCCACCAAACCCTCTCCCTTCTCCATGCTACATCTGCCCTCCTTTTCGCCGCCTCTACTCCACCAACAATTTCATGCTTTCAACCGCTCTATCAGTGTCTTTGTGACACTCGCATCTTTACTTGATTACTTTACTCCGGCTCGCTAGCCATTTCGCGCATGTACGTCGTTGAGGTAGGCTTCGAGGTCGAACTTCGGGTTTTCTGGGTCGGAGATGACTGCGCACCACCTTGTCAGCCCATTGCCCTCTATCGCAAGTGCGCATAACTCTCTTCTGCGGCATGCCCGCCTGATCTGAGGGTACGATAGTATGCTGACCTCCATTGTCCTTCGCGCTATTTGGGTCATTCCGCTTCTTCCACTCGGCCTTGGCCTGGTCTATGATCTGGGCTTTCCGGTCCCACTCGTGCTGTGATACGGCTTTCTTGTCGCGAGAGTGGATGGCGTTTTGGTGGGAGAAGCCGTAGAAGACGCCAAAAACGAGCGCACTCCAGCGCAAAAGCTGTCATGTCATCCTGTGTTAGCACAGTATCACTTCCCCCCGGGGTATCCATGTTGGCATGAAAGTTCGGTGCGTACATTCACCCCCGAGGAGGCCATTGCAGGCTAGGAAGGCGGCGGA